CTGCCGAATTGCTCGGTTGTTCGCCTAACGTCCCCATTTCACTTTTAACTGAATACTTTATGCACTGATTGATCTATGACTTCTAGCGGTCAGTTAAAATTGCATAATGCACTCGGTGACTCGCCGAAAGATCCCTTTTTCACCCTTTGTTTGTGCACTTATATCATTTGTACATTAATTTCAACGATTAGCCTAACAGGATAAGCACTTCGCAAACTAGCTTGGCTAAGCAATTCCACACTCAAAAACACCCTTTTGCTCCTGTTTTGAATTACTATCTAACTTATCCTCGAAGTCTTTTGCAGAAATGGCTAGACCAAAAGTCGCAAGCAGAAATGATCCACACAGGCACCAACGAAATTATGTAGTCTTGTTTGACTTAAGTGTCGATGCCTTGTGTGATTAGCTTTCTTTAAACCATGCATGATTAAACCTACAATTTGCCCCGTTAGTCTGATTGATTTAGGAAGGTGTCCTTTTCAGATGATATTACACAACTTTAAAGAGTGTGAGCCAAATTTGACATATACCTCTTTTGTGGCCTACCCGTGAGTGTGTGGAACTCTTTTGAACACCCTTTGAGCCTTACCTTTCTTTGGAAGAACCTCGATGAACCCTAGACCTTACTTGACCGACTACCTATAATCCTCTTGATTTGTTGTTTAGCGAATAGCCAACTTAAGTGAAAAGCCTAAGTTGGAACTGTGGGGAAAAGGAAAAGGAGAAGTCAAGAAGTATAAGAAAAGTCCCCCCATAACCAATGGTATTGCATAAAAATGGAACCCCTTCAATTAAAAAAAAAAGAAAAAAAGGGAAATCAGGTTTTGAAGCAATGCACGGAGGTGAATAAAAAGGTGACTTAGAAACTCTAGAAAAAGAATTGATAAAGGAAAAGAAGGGAATACCGTGAGAATACCATATCTCACGAGGAATAGTCACTGAGCCTAAATGACCATACCTTTGCACTCATCCCCATTTCAATCCTTAGAAAGACCTTTGTGATCTTTAGTAAGCCGAATCGAAAGTCGATTAGAAAATAAGGGCAAACCAATGGGTGAAAACATGCATTGTGTTCCTCTTTTTTAGTGTGAGCGTTGCATCTGATTCCGGATCTTCAAGTGATTAACCTCTGTATGTGGATATGGAATCATTATTTATGTGAGGGCATTTAGATACTTTTTGTTGAGCTTGAACTTGCACAAGTAGCAAGTATTGCGAGCATGAAAATCTTTGGTAATGGTGTGTTACAACTTTAATCTTTGAGCACACAATTGATCCTTGCATAAGTAAATTTAGTCTTGTTGTGCGCATTCATGATTGAGTCTTGTGTAGCACTTTTTGAGACACCCTTTTTAAATGGCTGAACTTAAGTTTGGTTGAGGACAAACTATAGTTTAATTTGAGTGTGTTGATGAGTCCCCAAATTGGACTATTTTAGGGCTTATTTTGATAGAAATAGTGTCCTCGAATGCTTATTTTGTCTCATTATCTGATGAAAACTCTTATGTTTCAGATAATTGAAGTTTTAATGGAAGCATGGACGCTTAGGAACAAAAAGGAACAAAAAGGATAAAAAGAACGAAGAAGCTAATGACTAAGCTCCGCTAAGCACACTTGGCGAGTTGCCAAAGGGACATATTCCACCCTTTGTTCCAGTACGCGAACCCTTGAAGGAAGAGGGTCAGAAAGGTGATTAAAAGAGTAGTCGACATTTCGCCAAATAGTTCTGCGAAGCAGTACTACACCGCCCAATGGTCTAGAATGTGAAGATGCTGAAGGCAAGCACGAAACGGTGATGAGACAGAAGAAGGGCGAGTCGCTGAATCATTCGGCGAACTCGACTAACCTCATTGAACTATCCGCCAACACTAATTTCTAATGGCTATAAATACTAAACTCTTAATTAATTTTAGAATGGTCGAACCATTATTAACTTTTTCACAATAGAATAGTACTTTTCTGGATAATTTTTGTCAAGTTTGGAGAGGGTTTTTGGGAGACTTGAAGAATGAAGGATTTCATCGTCCTCAAGTTGGAAGTGGGTCTTCTCCATTCTTCTTCCTTTGCTTAAATCAAGGTTTAATTCCTTATACCCATTTGATTTTACTATCATTTTAGGTGTATTTTGTTATTTCTTGATGTGTGGCTAAAAACCCCCTATTCTTGTGGTGTGATTTAGCAAATATGTGTTCATATTATTGTTGGGTCTTGTTTGCTGATAGGCTAGATGTATTTTAATGGTGATTTCACCTAGTGGTTGTGGCTTAATTTAATGTGTTTGTAGTTGCAAATAAAAACCACCCATGTGTTTTCGGCTTGCGAGAGAAAGAGGTCGCGAAACCAAGACCACTAGACTGATGACCTAAGGAGTGGGTTGACATGAGGTTCAGCCGGAAAGGGTGAGCCCTAGTCCCATATCCTAACACTCAGCTTGAGAGAGTGAGTGGGGTAAGGCGTAGGCTGGTCTTCATGCGGCAAATGGGTGTCCGAGAGGAACCCATTTGTAACGGGGTAAGTTTCCCAAGAGGGAACTTATTTCCATCTAAAGCTTAGCCTAGTCACTATTATCTTGCAAATTTCCTATCGAAAGCATGTACCCAACAATTTATCTCAACTTGTATTGCGGTTACACCCCACGATCCTTCCCCATACTTGATTTTCTTGTTAAATTTTGCTATTTTTACTTACTTGTGAGAAAACCACCATTTGATATTTGACACTTTCGTGTCACCCTTTTTAATTTATTATGTTTTAATTCATTAATATCTTTAGCTACGACTAGTTAGAGCTAAATTTTATTTTTTTATTAATTCTCAAAACGACTCCCTTGGGACGACCCCAACTCTTGGTTAGGTTATTATACTACTAGATGATCGTAGACACTTGAATTGGATGTTGTGTCATTGATTATGGTAAACATCAACGACAAAAATTCTCCTTAAATATCTTTAAGAACAAGAAAATTTTTGGTCCCTAAAGTGTACATAGATCTAATAAAATAATTGTTTGATCATATTCAGTTCAACCAAAAGATTTCTATCCAATATATTAAAATACTACAATATATACAACATAGATAATAGTTAAAGATAAAAGACTTGATTAAAAAAATAAATTAACATCTTATTAGTTACATGGCCATGACATATAACTAATAAGTTATTTAGAATTTCTTCTATTTTAGTCACACAGAGTTCAATTTTTCTTCTGCAGCAAGGATTTCTAGCAATATAATACCATAGCTGAAGACATCAACCTTCATGGAGATGGGGAAATTTGATTGCCATTCTGATGCTAAATATCTTCTAGTCCCTCTTACACTATTGAATGCTCTTGTTTGATCAACCATTAGCAGGTTTGCAGCCCAAAATATGAGATTTTTAGCTGTCAACAGCTCGCCAAGTAAGATGTTTTGTGGCTTTATATCACACTAGATAATTGGAGGTTCACAGTCTTCATGGAGGTAAAGGATTCCCCTAGCCACATCTAATGCAGTATTTACTCGTAGATTCCAATCCAGTTTTGTAGCTCATCGGCACAACATATTTGCTTGGCAACCATAGCCTTGTTAGGTTGTATGATGTTTTTTGAAATCTTCATCTTGAATGGTAAAATTTGTCCTTAAAAACTGTAATCACATAAAACATTATATTTAGAAACTATAAGAATCACTAGAAAATTGGTTTAATGGTTCTTATGTCAACTCATGTCTGACAGTGTTTTAACCACTCACTTGAAAAAAAGTACAAATTCATCAAGTGTAACTACGTATATACACTTTAAAAAAGCAAACATCAAAGTAAAAGTGGCTGCAAGAATACAAACAATAATGAGTTAGCTTATTTCCATGTACTAGATTAAAGGAAAGGACTTAGAAAATACATAGGTTTGGTACAATATAATAAAATAAGGAGATAACAGACAACCAATTAATGAGTTGTCTATGTATTAGGACAATATTTGGATTCGGCTAGGGTTATGAAACTAACTATGGTCAATACAATAGGTATTTTGCCTTGTGAGTTCATATGGCGCCATACTTCTTGTGGCAAAGAATGTCACTTCACTTATAAAATCTATAAGAACACTTCCACAATAGTTCCAATGCGAAATCTATCGTGACATGAGTATGGATAATGAATTAAAACATAAATTAAAACTTCTACAAAATAAACATCTACTGAAAGAGTTCAACTGAAAATAGATTTTATATGAAATTCAAGTGGTTAAATTTAACATATATATGTTCACAATACCAATTCATAATTTTGAACAAAAGTAAGTACTAAATAGCATTTTTTCCTTTAATTATTGATGTAAAATCATCTTCCATTCAACAACAAATTCTTTCAATATAACTAAAGAGATTCTCAAATTCCCACAATTTAAGTAGACGAGATTGTTAGGATTTGAAACTTTTAGAGAAAAAGATAAAGCTCAACAACAGAAATTTTCATTGATATTCAGCTTTTAAAAAGCATAGACACATATATCTACATAAGCTTTTCCAAAGTTAGTAGAGGACCATACATATCCAACCACTATTGAATTTCTTACAAAACATATTCCATAAAACAAGGACTACCTTTCCTTTAGATACTTAACATACTATTTAAGAAAATAAAAATTAAACAAAAGACAATCTAGAAATATCTTATTTTATAGCACTCCTCCTTGAGATTTTTCTTGGATACTCCCAACTTAGCCCTTAGAACATCAAATTTCCTCTTAGGAAGAGCCTTGGTCATGATGTCTGCAATCTGTTGATCTTAGCTGCAATGAACAAGTTGAACTTTGCCATCCTTCTCCGCTTGCCTGATAGCGTGAAACTTCACATTTATATGCTTGCTACGACCATGTTGCACTGGATTTTTGACCATAGATATTGCTAACTTTTTGTCAACCTTAATAACAGTAGCTTCAATGTCATTTTTCTCCAGATAACATAGATTCTTTCTTAACCATATAGCCTGATTAGTTGCACCAACATCGACGATGTATTATGCTTTTGCAGAAGATTGAGCTACCACCTCTTGCTTCTTTGAATTCCATGAGAACATTCCTGGACCAAGTGTAAAAGCATATGCAGAAGTGCTTTTCATATCATCAGCGCTTCCCGCCCAATCACTATCTGAATAACCCATCAGTTGCCCTTGCTCTTCCCTTTTAAACCAAATACCATAATCAACAGTTCCTTTGATATATCTCAATGTTTGTTTAGCAACACCAAGATGAACTTGACTTGGAGCTTGCATAAACCTCGACAGTAATCTCGTTGCTGTCAAATACAACAAACTACCAATCAGCCTTCTATAAACTATTGGATCAGCCCTATCACATCCTTCAAACTTCAAAATCTTTTCATTGTGAAACATTGAAGTCGGTACAGACTTGCACCTCTCCATCTTGAACCTTTTAAGAATATCCCATGCATATTATCTCTGAGAAATAAAGATTCCAGGAGTAGCTTGATGAATCTCCATTTCCAGAAAGTAACTCATTTCACCCAAATTTGACATTTCAAACTTGGTCCCCACTTTTTGCATGAACTGATTCACCATTGCTTTATTGCTTCCTGTTACCAGGACATCATCAACATAGATTGACACCACAAACAGATCTCCTCCTTTAGCCTTCTTCACATATAAACTGGCTTCATTTTCACTTCTCTTGAAGCCACAATGAATGAGATGATCATCAATCTTATTGTACCATGCTCGAGGAGCCTGCTTTAATCCATATAACGCCTCATGAAGTTGGTAGACTTTATTCTCCATTCCTACAACTTGAAATCCTTCTGGTTGATTGATACGCTCAAATTACACCTCCCTAAAGAAGTATAAGCAATCGTTAACAAGTAAAGAACCCAACTTGTAGGTTGGGGTCGATCCCACGAGGAAAATGGTTTAGACTTTACTTTAACCAACAATTATATTCAATTAGCCAAAGTACTTCCAGAAACAAGAAATAAAAGGGGGGGGGGGGGGGGAATTTGTGAAACAAATTGTAAGAATTCAGTAAGTAATCAATAAACAAAAGTCAATTTCGGTTGTTATCAAGATGATAAAATTAACTAGGGTAGACGTGTTCCTCACAAGCTCATAACGCAGTAATCCTAGTAATCGCAATCCATTCCTAGTGTGTTACATGCAAAGTGATAAGTTAGGTATCTCTAAATCCTTGATCCGACATCTAGAGAATTTCACCCTGCACCTTGATCCGGCGTGTGCATAATTTATTAATCCTTACCTTTACCTCATATTAGACATCATAATCGATGTTTGGCTTAGTTATTACTTCGCACCAATCGATACTAGCCTATTAGATAGTATCACACTAAATCTATGTTGATAATTCTTTTCTTGTTGATTACCTCCTTTATCCGGCAAGTAGCAACAAGGTGAGTTCTAACGCGTGCACTCGTTAAAAAGGCTTTTAAACGAAAGAATTATCAATGCATGCAAAACACTATTCAAGAATTACTTATTTACTATTCATACCTTTTTAATCGCTCATGGTTCCCACAACCCTAGTTGTGGATTTAGTTACCCATATTAGCAAGAACACAATTCATAATATTAGATGAATAAATCATGAACTTACGTAACGAGAATAATAAACCTAGAATTTCAACTTGAATTGCAAAGCCAAAATCTTCAAAACAAATGTACGAAATCAATAATTGCTAGGGTTGCAACTTAATCTCCAAAGTCACAAAGTAAAAATAGAATAATAATGTCTAACACCCAAAAATGAGGTTTACATCCGCTATTTATAGAACACAAATCCTATATTAAAAGGGAAACAAATTAAGGAAAGTTTGTTCAGGTACGCGTCTTCAATCCACGAGACTGACTTACAGACCGTCGATGGATCTACGGTCCGTAAGTCCCTTCCATCAGCCAGGACTTAGAAAATATTTCCGCTTCCAAAAATCAGCTTCTCTGAAGAAAACGACGAACTAGTAGTACGGACACTTAGAATCTTCAAAAATCAGGTACTGGAACCCTCGCAGTATCACTTTACAGATCAACAGTACGGTCCGTAGATCAATCTACGGACTGTCAAAGGACACCGTGGTTCCACACTTGGTCAGATTTCCCTGATTTGTCCTCAATACCATGCCTGCTGATCTACGGTCATCACCAATGGACTGTGAATGGACCTACGGTCTGTAGATCACCTCCGTTAATGCCCTATTTCTGCATTTCTTTCAGCTGTCTCTATACTTCCGCGCATGAACATCTTTTCTGCAAAACATGATAAAAACACATAAAAACCAATATAAAAAGGCCCTAGACACACACAACTTGTAAGTGAAATGTATTAAAAATATCGTAAACTCGCGGTATATCAATACCCTCAACTTAAATTCGTTGTTTGTCCTCAAGCGACGCACTACAACTCTAAACGACACTTGTATAGAAGCAAGCATTTTCAAACCCAAGCAATCACATGGTTCCCTACCTTCCTCATTGTTCGGGTGCACATTCGTTCTCTTAGACTCGACAGGCCAATTCATGTGGATCACACCATGACACAGATTGACCAACTGACACACAACATATACCTTCTCACTATCACCAAAGTACCAACTTTCCGACAATGTAACTAGTGCCCTTACTTCAAACGAAATCCCCTTTTCCCAAGAATGAATGACATTCATGGTAGAAGGATTTATTCAACACTCACGCTCAGAAGTAATTTCAAATACAGTTAGTGCTTAATGCCATAAGCTTGCCCTTATTTTCACTGCTTAGACTCTCCAAAATAGACTCTAGGATCACTATAGGACTTTCTTGGCTTGTAACGTAGGCTCAGGGTCAGGTGTGGTACATTTGGGTACTGCTTAGTTACTTTTTGCCCTCCTTGACATTACGCTCGGCTTTCAACCTCTTTTTGCCCTATTTTTGTCATCATATCGTTTTACTTTCTTTCCCTTAATTTTCTTCAACCACGGATGTGACTTCAGACTTTGTAGTTATTTTTACTTTTATTTTATTTTTTTTCTTTTAGCTTTCAACAAGTCACATCCTTTTACCTTTTTTTTTTCACATCACTCTTTTCATACCCATTTTTCTTTCAGTTCCCTCTTTCATAGCCATCCTCAACTTATGGATTTTCGATTAGTTGAGATACACAATACCCGATGTCAGGTCAGGGCAAAGATTGAAGTTACTTTTTACATTAGCCACCCTCAACTTAGGCTTTTGGCCTAAGTAGAAGTGCACATGTCCAAGGAGGGACCGGGGCCAACATAGTAGATTATGGGAAAGTGAGTTCAGGGTTTAGAAAGAAATGGTTTAATTTTACGCTCAAATTATTTGGATCAAAGGGAGCATTTATTTCATTTGGTTGGATCCTTCTTTTAGGCGATTTGTGAATTTTTCAGAACAATGGCCTATGATCACTTCCTAACCTCTATATTGAATTGTCTTAACAGGACTAACCAGGCAAGTTCTAGTTTTGCACAAAAACTGTTTGAACACTCAACGATTCTCACACACTCTTGGCACATAGTTCCGTCATCAGGTTATCAGATTACCCAGTTCAAGTTTCAGCTTAAGTCATGCTATCAAGTTGGTTCATATTTATGTCATACTCAGAGCCAGCACATTCAACTAATCATAGCCTACAAATTCTAACATACGTCCCAAAATCTGGGGGGTATCATAAGCCATCATACTGCTTTCTTCATCATGCTTCTACACATACGATCCTAAGACATGCCGGTTCAACAAAAAATAAACAGTCTCTTGGGGGAAAAGAACACAAGCAAGAAAACCCCAAGAGTGGATTCATGAGTTGGGTTATTAAGACTTCACCCTATCACTCACAATCCATTTACCCCACCCCCAACAAAAATAGATGCAATTGTCCCCAATGCATACAAAAGCAGTAAAAGAAAATAGATTGGGTGAAGCAAACCTGTGGCGCAAAACGCCGGTGAATCATCAACAAGCAAGGGGGTCCGGTTTCCCGGAGCCCACTGGAACAGTGGTGGTGGGACCCTCAGTAGTGCCCACATCTGCAATCATAGAACTCTCAGTAGTGATCTCTATCAATCACACTGCACTATCAGTGGTGCTCACAATGTCCCTCAAAACAAGCTGAACCTTTGCAACTGGGCAGAGCTCGATGCCCATGCAACTCTCTTACGCACCCTCTGCTGGCACAACTCTTCGTCTACAATCGAAGCCCACCTAGCCTTCTTTTCCTGTCGACGCTGTCTCTTGTGAGCTTTCTTTGGCATGTGTCGGTGCAGGACCCTCCTCTGCGGTCCCACGGAATAGAGCATCTAGCACTATATCATCAGCCAGTGCAGTTGGAGCAGCCTGAGTCTCAACTAAAGGTGCAGTAAGAATGGCATCAACGTCAGTCCGGAGGTTGGCTACGTCAGCCTGCATAGCAGAGAGGTCTTTGGCCGGAGCTGATCGCTTGAGGACTCGCAACTCAAAGGAATCAAGACGCTTATTAACAGCCTTGACCTTCCGGTCCATCATCCCCTCCATCCTAGCCTCGAACTTGGCTATAGACTTTTGCATCCACGGCTGGATGTGATGCAGCAATGTGGCCATCTGCACCTCTAACTTCTGTACTCTGGCCAGTGGGACAACAGTAACTCCTAACTTTGCTGTGGAGCGGGAAAAGATAGGAGCCATACTAGCTACCTGAGATGAGGAGCCCGGGACAGTGTTGGTGTGGTCTGGGATCATAAAGTCACCGCCCTGTGCCTGCCCCACTGTGTCTGCAAGATAAGTACCCAAGTGAGGTACCTCAATCTGGGGCTCTCTGCGAGGTGCTGCCACATTTACCTCATCTCGAATAAGGCCAATGTCTAATGCCACTGTAGGGTGGACTAACTTGTCACATTGCCAGATCGGCACTCCGGAGTCCCTGCACAAATGAAAAATTAGACAGGGGAAGGGGTAGGTGGTAGAGGTCCTAAATGCCCTCTCATTAATCTCTGCCAGCAACATGCGGGCAAAGTCAATCTCAACTCCTGCTACCAATGCCGCAACCATGACTGCTCTGTTCCACGTGACTTGATTGTCAGCTTTTGTCGGTGACACTCTGTTACGCACCAGCAGCCAAAAGAACTTGGCCACAAAATTTGGTGTGGCCTTTCGGATGCCCAACTATGTAGTGGCGACCCATTCCTCACGCTCGCCATCTGCAACAATGTACCTGGCCAACCATAGTACAACAGCCTCTCACTGCTCAACATTCATCTGGAAAGCGCCACTCCGCACGATGTCCCATTTCTAGTCAAACTCAGCTGTGTTGAGAGAACAAGAGTGACCCGTAGTAGGACCATAGAGAAAGCGTCTAATCGTGGCAGGTGATATGTCCATCGGGCACCCTCGAACTAGAGTGGAAGTGAGCGGATCCTGCGCTAGTGGCT